GATAATTGATGGTGGCGTCATCCAATACCGTCGCCGCGGCGAGCCCGCAGAATTCCCAGGCGTACTCGAAGAAGGAGAGATCTCGGCAGGCTAAGGCGGAGAACCGAGTGGCTATTTCCATCGCCGCAGGGAGAAATAAACGGAAAACAAACAAGGGGAGAGGGGGCGCCGCTTACTGTTCTGTATTGGTCCGGTATTCTGTCACGGTTCGCTACTGTGAGGAGCACGGAGCGAGGAATGAGGAGACGCAGAGTCGAATTCAAACATATAGACTTTAATCATACCCAGGGAACCAGGAAAACACACGTAGCAAGGGTACTGAAAAAATGCCCAAAACCCTTCTGAAATCATAGAAAAAGAATCAATGGAGAATCAAAACGTTCTTGATATTTACACATATAAGAGGTTACTCTTAAAGATTACTCTTAAAGCTCAGACGTTCTGTCAGTGGATGTAAAGAAATATGAATGACATGCCTGAGTGACTGAAATAGAAAATTTGTGTTTGTTCTTCACATTTCACAATGGACTGTTTTGTGAATTACTCTAAATATGTATCCGAGTTTTCAAAACATATTTTATTGAAAGATACGGCAGTGCCAAGCAAACCAGCTTTTAACACTAACACACCAAGCGTATCATTGTTTGAGTGTTGCTAATGAAACTAGTACATAGCCAGATAAGAAATATTTGCTTGAGTTGAATACTTTTTTTATGCGAGTTGAATACATTTTTTTTTTTTTTTCAATTTTTTTTAACCCTTCACACAATGTGTATTGTTTTACTGTCATCGACTTTTAGGAAATTTGTTAAGAGTAGTCTGTGCGTAGATATTTGGTTACAATTATGTTGCTTTGCGTTGTTTCAATTTCTTCTGCCTTGGGATCTGACTCAGGCGCAAACATATACGGCTCTATCACAGCGCTTGCCATATTGAGTATCAAAACACATGACATGCTGTAAAGAAGGCCATGCATGTGGTGCGCTGAAGTTAGCTTTTACACATATTGGACTTTACAAACTTTATAAATTAACCTCAAGAAACATAATATACAAATCTGAAATCTGCATTTCATGACCTCTTTCATTTTTGTTGAATACAGCAGTTTGAATAAAAACAATAGATTCCAATGGACCTATTCAGAACTGGCACACATTGTCAATCCTTTTGGATAACACTTGCAGAAAAATATGTGTGATATATAAGGTATAATATAATATATAAAATAGAAGTAACAACTCTTTTTACTTTTTACTGATACACAGAAGCATTATGGCCACACGAACAGATTTGGCTATTTACGACCAGTCTTTAAAAAATGAAATCATACAGAACAGATTTAAGTATATAATTAATATATATATATATATATATATGGTGGCTCTTTGATGAATCGCTTTCTTCCTCTTTTGTAAGTTGCCTTTAATAAAAGCGTCTGATAAATGCATAATTGTAAATGTAGTGATATGTCATGTTGTCAGCACTAAGCTAAACGGTGTCTATCATCTATCACCTATCATCGTCAATCTATCATATGCTGTATTGGAGAATATCTGTTTGTCAATTGGCGCCACTCACTGTACAGGAGTAATTTGGTTTTCATAACCTGTTTCCATCATTCTGAATGCATTTATTTCTTGTGATTTGTATTGTATTTTCATTTCACATTTGGTGCGAATGGACCCTTAGGCTATTCAATGGTATTTTACTTCCAACTAACCCAGTGATATTTCTAGATGGGTCTATCTATAATGAAATGTGTCTAACTTATTATTTGGATGCCTTGTACGGGAGCTAGGCCCAGTTAAATACAGAAGCTTACTCCGCCATTAGAAATCATTACAAATCATCCATTCGGTTATCAGCCATGCATGCATGATTTCCATTATACACAACTAAAATAGATTGTTTACTGCAAACAATAAACCACCTAAAACTCACCATCACTCTTAGGGCCCTGCCTTCTCATCAGTAACTTTCTAGACACCATCTCCAGTTCGTCCAGCTCAACAGCACACAGCAGCTTCTGAGTCTATACCATTTCCTGATACTGCCTAAGTTCTCTAGTCCTGAGAGCACAATGGCTAAATATTAAGCCAGCGCTATCAGTGACATCCCCACTTGGGCTGTACAGAAATAAAGAGTCTAAAGGGCGGGGACCCTAAGCATAATACCTCTCATATGGGATCAAGAGATGTAAACAGATAGACTGGCATACGGCTTACTGGGGGAGCTGTGATAGGCCTGCTCATCAGTGCTCATTTTAGCAAAGGTTTTGCAGAGATTGCAAAGATGTTGCCACTCATGGAAAAGAGGTTTTGTGGCTTTAAGCTGATCTAGTAGTTGTTAAAAGCATGCAATTTTTGCATACACAGTCAAAACGAAGACAGTGGTCAAATAAAGCCATTCCATACGTCGCCAAGATTCCTCTTAACAGTTTTGAGAATTAGAGAAGTTTTCAGTTCCAAAATGTTTCTTATATATTCCAAGGCAATCCCAAAATGCATTTTGTTTTGCGAAAAAGTCCATCCGGTAGGGACAAAGTGAAAGAAATGTAAATTATAAATATACTAATTATTCAAACTGAATATCCTTTTCATCAATTTATACATCTATAAAGGAGATTATTATATATATTCGATTCTCCTGTAGGCTTTATACGATGAACTATCCTCCTCTATGCTTTATTTCAGTGATGATGCTTTAGAAGGCAGCTTCCTATAAGCTGTAGACAGCAAGGCAGCTCACTACAGTATGTTTTGGAACAGAGCCGTAGATATAAGTTGATATTTCAAGCAAATATCACAGTATGCAGCTGACCAAAACACTCATTATACAGAATATGACGATGATACATTAGCAATTAAAATTTGTTCTCTGCTCCATGCCACATCTTTTCTGTTTCCCATAGACAGTCAAGATAAACAATTCTGTGAGCTGGACTAATGACACAAGAGGCTTTAACCTAAAATAAGAGGAAGTCAAGCACATCACTATAAATAGCTCTAGTTCATGCACAGAAAACACTTTCCTCCAGGACACACAAAAACAGCCATGGCACCACTACTATATCTCTCATGTTTGCTTTTCTCTGCTGTGTAATAAAAAAAAGTCGAATGACTGATTAATAGGGAACAGAGTCCACTGCAAATTTGCACACACACACACACACACACACACACATTTGCTCATAAAGTAATTATTTAGCATGTACACTTTCTGAAAAGTGTAAGTAACCACAGTAATGCATTCCACCAGTGTAAAAAGTGTAAAGACCACTGATCTATAATAGAGAACTGGATTGCTCATGCCATCATAAAAGTAAAGCCACTGGGCCGCCATATTTGTATTCCCTAGTATTCCCTTACATTATATTGAATTAATAGGAAGTTGTAAGATTTTAATGAGAAAACATCACCTAATGAGTCAATTTTTATATCTGAAGTATCCCTGCACACTTATAACACAAACGTCCTAAGCATGTACATTATTTTTTGTATAATGTCTGGAATTTCCCCCACTTAATAAAAAGTTAATAAAACTTTTAATAAAAACATTCATATACATTACAGTAGCCGATAAACATGACGAACATCATACGGATGAGATCGTGAACATATATATTTCAAATGACAAAGTGCTCATTTTGAAATCTGAATAAAGATTTATGCGTTGTATACACATATACCTTAATTCGCCTTGAACAGTTATTCACTGTTTATATGATTTTGCTATTGGATTTTATTCGTACAGTAAATGTTTCAACAATGATTTTGTAAACAACATTCATTTTGAAGCAGTTAATGATTTAAATGTTGGTTAAATTAATAATTAATTAATTCAACATACATACATAACATTTTACTCCTATGGAAACTGCAATGCTAGTAAAATTCCATAGAATTTGAGCGATCTTGAAGAGTCTGAAAGAGATGTTGCACAATCAGGAAATAAAATACATGCATCATAACTTATTTAGAGAAATAACGCAGACTGCATATGGACTTAAAGACATGAAGCTTTATTTTCAAGATGCTGCATGGTAAGCTTTTTTTCAATACAATATAGAGCAATATTAACAGAGGCTTGTATTGTAGTATTTATTGTATAGTTGAATCAATTTCTGATACTAATACCAGATATACGTTCATGTTTCATATTTCCTGCATAATTCTGTACATAAATAAATATATTTTGTGTTGGATCAGTTACCTGTGTTGGCAAGTGCGCAGCTGACACACCCACCTTAACGATTTCAATATTGCTTATCCTGCCCAAAAAGACCATAAACATTGCAGATAACATCTGAAGTAAAAATTAATTGGCATACACATATCTTAAAAACTAGTCCTGTGTAACTGATACACTTCAAATCGGGTGATTCTAGGTCAAGGTTTTGGCTGTCAGTCAATGATGCACTCTGCCAGTAGGGAATATTAATATGGCTGCTTGAATACTTCTGGTGGCTTCACCGCCTAATGGCAGTTTCGAATGCAGTGAGCAATACAGTCATTATATAGATCAGTGGTAAAGACAGAGGCTTAAAACACAACAAAGCAACATTGGCTCAACCAATGCTATGAATGTGGGCATGTTCATTAAAACTGTCATTATTTTTCACTATTGAAACAAATGATGACCATTCCCTATTTATAGCATGATATGACATGATAAAACATGATACAGCTGTTTTGCAATTCCAGTTAAGAGTTTAGCCTCTCTCTCTCTCTCTCTCTCTCTCTCTCTCTCTCTCTCCCTCTCTCTCATAAGTTTGCCGGTTTTTGTAACCGTTAGTTAGTTTAAAATGGTTGCTTAGGCACTGAACAGCAAGAATATTTTCTCTGCAGATATCATATTGTTGAAATTTTAGAAAGAAATAGAAAGAAAGAAGCATTAGTATTGGCTAGGACTTAACCTTCCCATCTTGATGTCTCTACAACATACATAGACAGAGGAAGATAAAGAGACGAGCTCTGGGCGGTCATTTCTCTCAAACAAGAAAACTGAACTTAAGCTGAGACAACTTTCTTTACACTCTCTGCTTACATCCTCAATTAGATTTTATCAGAAAACTAGTCAGCAGTCAACTCTGGTAAGTCAAAACAATATTTGATAAATACAATGTTTTAAGTGTTATGTTACTGTAAATGTACTTAAAAAAATGTAGGATACCCGATCCACTCTGCACTCTGCTATTCAGTGGGTCATTGTAGGTATTTAGGCAATGCGTCACGTTTTTCGAGGGAAGCACAGTTTCTTACTCTCTTGAAGAGTTTGGCTTCACATAGTTTGCTTAGAAATACTAGTTGGAATAAAACAGATGGATCTTATGATTAGGACATACATGAAAATGCCTTTTAAATTAGATGGATTTATGCCAAGTGGCATATTTGCATGCAACCAGTTTGTGAAACTGTTGCTATAGTTTGTCCAACAGTGTTGCAAAGCAGCAAGAGTGCTTCATTATACTTTGAACATTATTGCATATCTACATATTGCATTAATGCAAGAAAGAAAACTTGTTAAAACAGAGCAATGTGAGGACATTTGAGGATGTGCTAGAATTGAGTAAGACTTCACGTCATGTATTATGACTCATTTTTACAGAGGAAGCTTGCTTTGAGACAACTTCTGAGCGGTAGTTTTGCTCAGACCAGACCTCGTTTCACACTCTCTGCTTACATCTTAAGAAAGAATTATCAATATAGTCAGTTGCCAACTCTGGTAAGTCATGAGAAACTTTTCTTACAGAAATATTTATAAAATTTGATTTAAACTAAGAGCTACACTCTAAGTAGGAATATTTACATTTAGTCATTTTGCAGACGCTTTTATCCAAAGCGACTTACAATTGGGGAATACATAAAGCGATTCTTCTTAAAGAGGCAAACAGACACAGGAAGTGCTTGTAAAACCAGGTTCTAGGCATTGTTCAAATAAGTACAAGCTAGAAAGGGAAGGAATAAATAAAGAGAAAGAAGGGTTTTTTTTTCTTTAATTTAGGATAAAGTCAAGTAGCGTTGAAAGAGATGAGTTTTCAGTTGTCACTTGAAAATTGTCAGGGATTCAGCATTCCAGATAGGGGTGGGAAGATCATTCCACCAGCCAGGAATGGTGAACGAGAATGTTCTGGAAAGTGATTTTGAGGCTCTCTGTGATGGTACCACGAGGCGTCGCTCACTAGCGGATCTCAGACTTCTGGAGGGGATGTAGATTCATAGTAGTGAGTGGAAATAGGCGGGTGCTGAGCCTGTGGCTGTTCTATATGCAAGCATCAATGTCTTGAACTTGATGCGAGCCTCAACCGGTAGCCAGTGCAAGGAGATAAAGAGAGGTGTAACACGGGCTCTTTTGGGCTCGTTGAAGACCAGTCTTGCCGCTGCATTCTGAATCATTTGCAGAGGTTTGATTGTGCTTGATGGAAGTCCAGCCACAAGAGCATTGCAGTAGTCCAGCCTAGAAATGACAAGGGCCTGGATAAGAAGTTGCTCATCATGCTCCGTTAGAAAGGGCCTGATCACTCTGATGTTGTGCAATGCAAACCTGCAAGATCGAGCAGTCTTTGCATGAAATGAGATAGAGCTGTGTGTCATCAGCATAGCAATGGTAGGAGAAGCCATGTGCCTGTATGATGGGACCCAGTGATGTCGTGTATATGGAGAAGAGGAGGGGTCCAAGAACTGTTCCCTGAGAAACCCCAGTGACCAGTTGATGTGCTTTGGAGACCACCCCTCCCCAGGCCACCCTGAAAGACCTACCAGGTTTCGCTATGAACGGAAGGAGAGAGACAGGTCTGTAGCTATCTTTAAGTGAAGTGTTTAATGTAGGTTTTTTGAACAGTGGGGTTACCCGAGCCTGCTTGAATAAAGTGGGGAAAGTACCTGTGAGGAGAGTTGTGTTGATGATATGTGTGAGTGCTGGTAAAAGTGTAGGAGAGATTGCTTGAAGGTGTGAGGGGATTGGGTCTAGAGGGCATGTTGTAGGATGGCTGGAGAGGAGAAGTTTGGATACTTCTGCCTCAGTGAGGGGACAGGAGAAGATGGGAGTTTTAGCAGTGGTTGTGGTTGATATGAAGTCCTGTGTGCGTGGGGCTGAGAATTGACTACTGATTGTTCTAGTATATATATATTTATGTACTAGATATATATGATGGTATATATGAGATACATTTAATGGTAAGCTGTAGCTCATGATAACAGGACTGTATTTGCATGTGCTAAATAAACACTGTGAAGTTGGTCTTGTAAGTCGATGTTACAGGTTGGGTGACTTTGAGACAGTTATGTTAAACAGCAAAATCACTAACTGTTAAGCTCCAAGGAGAAACAACCCTGTCCTTGTTTGGCTCCAAAAATTACAAAACATTACTTACCTTTAATTACAGCATGATAGAAGAAAAACAATATCTATTTGTGACCGGAAATGTTTTTATTAAAAGTCCTAATTTCAGATTAATTTAATTTAATATGTAGATGTCAATTAATCTGATTGTGTAAACAATATGTAAAAAAACACTTTACACAGAAATATTTCAATTTCAAAATTCTCAGTAAAAATAAGACTGTTTTGGTTTAATGGTCGAAACTGGTCCACTGTGCAAATATTTGCGTGCTATACTTGGGTATCCACATTTTTAGTTTCATTACTCTGGAACCCCATTAATCATTCAAATATATTAGTAAATATTAATCAGATTAGTACCGGATCTTTTCCCTAGTACATATTTTAACCCTTTAATGTATTAATTCTGAAACCATGAAGGGAAAATATAAATAATAAACACAACTATAAATGTTCCAAAAATTGTCATAATTTACTCAACCTCAAGTTGATTCAGAGGGTTAAAATGCCTGCTTGTTTTGGTGTAGAATTATTTACACTTGCAGATGCTCATGCAACAGTACTTTAACTTCTACTAGCTTATTAAACTGTTGTTACTCTAAAACAGTTGCTTCAGCATTTTACACTACGCAGGAAGACAGGCTTCCTTGTACACCGCAAACACTGTCACAACAAGATTATATTTCCTCCAACTTCTAGGGGTGTGGGGAGTGTTGCAACTAGTTTCAGTTTACCCAATTAGAAATGTGTCACCAATGTGAAATCCCTGCTATACATGACGACCACCTTCCTGAAGTAATATCACAATGGTATTTCTGTTGCAGAGCTGTGTTAATGCAAAACTCTGAACTCCATTTTCAGAAACGACGCAGCAGCTCTGACTGTTGAACTACTATGACACCCAATGACACTTCACATCACTGCGGTTCGTCAACTCAGAACCTGGTGGCATCCGTCCTTCCTCCTATACTCATCATTGAGCTGTTACTCGGCGTGCCTGGCAATGTCATGGCACTTTTAGTCTTCAGCAAAACCCTTAGGACTTGGAGGGCCAACGTCATGTTCCTCTTCAACCTGGTTTTGTCTGACTTTCTGCTTCTTGTGAGCCTACCTTTCCGCATCGACAACTTCATGCGTGGCGAGAGTTGGATATTTGGAGACGCCTGGTGTCGGATCAACCTATTCATGCTGTCAGTCAACCGTTCGGCTAGCATTGCCTTCATGACTGCCGTGGCTGTAGACCGCTACTTTAAAGTGGCCCATCCGCATCACAAAATTAATTACATAAGCACAAAACAAGCAGCCGGGGTTGCCTGCTTCATTTGGGCTGTTGTGATATCTCTGAGGATCCCTTTGCTGGCCAACAAACTTCTGAACATGGAAAACAACATCTCTCTTTGTAGGAGCTTCAGTAACTATGAGGAACCATCGCTAGCTATCCGCCTGCATTATGCTGTGTTTGTGTTAGAGTTCTTTCTGCCTCTATTACTCCTGATCTTCTGCTCTGTGAGTATTGCATGTATCCTACGTATACGCCAGATGGACAAGGACATGAAAGGGAAAAGGGCCATTCGGACTGTCCTGGTGATCGTTGGGGTTTTTGTCCTCTGCTTCTTTCCCAGTATCGGCGCAGGATTGACAGCACTCTATTTGAAAAAACTTGGAGATGAGTACTGTAAGGCTTACACGTTCACCAGTCAGTTGTTTTCTATGTCCATAGCCTTCACCTACCTAAACAGTGCTCTGGACCCAGTCATCTACTGCTTCTCCAGCTCAGTCTTCCGCAATTATCTGAAAAGCGCTGTAAACCGAACTGGAATCATGGAGCTACAGATGAGCCGACGAGGCAGTATGCCCAGTGGAAGTGACTGAGGGTGGATTGGGGATTGATGAGCATTGGACAGTGTACATAACAGTGTACATATATATATATTATATATATTTTTTTTCAATACAGTTTTGTTTGTCAAGTTTTCTGTGTGTTAAATATAGATACTATTGTATTTTTTGTACATATATGTTTATACTGATGCATAAAGTATAGAGACCTTATATAATACATCATGTCATATACAATATTTGCCTTAAATGTAATTAATATTACAAATGCAAAATAAATGTCACAAATGATAATGAAAAAATCAATTTTTTGGATGATCTGCAAGGAATGATCATTTAAGTGTACAGTAAACATGGAATATATTTTTTTTTATTTACATTTTAATTATCTTAATATAATGTTGACTGACTGACTGAATGAATGAATGAATGAATGAATGAATCAATGAATGAATCAATGAATCAATGAATCAATGAATCAATCAATCAATCAATCAATCAGCAGAACATCTGTTAACCGAATAAATTCTTGCTGGACAAAAGCATATGTATAAATGTTGGATTACTGACTGAATATTGGAAAAGCTCAAGGTCTAAAAACAAACCTGGCTTCTTTCCCCATAATTAAAGGGGTCATATGATGCGATTTCAAGTTTTCCTTTCTCTTTGGAGTGTTACATGCTATTCGTGAATAGATAAGATCCCTAAAGTTGCAAAGACTAAAGTCTCAAACCCAAAGAGATATTCTTAATAAAAGTTAGCCTACAATGCTGGTGTTCTCACAAATAATGCTGACTCGCAGCCTGTAAGTACGTTTTCATATTTAAAGGATTTGCCACTGATGATTCAAACGCGAGTTTTGAGCAGTGTAGAGTAGCGCTTGTTGTTTGTCGTTTCTCCAATCACAAATCCAGACATGGTTGTATGTTTACACGGTGCGATGCAACGCAACGAGTAAAAAGACAGTACAAGTCATTAGGGATATAATCCGTAATTATGTCCCCACTGGATGCAACAAATGCCTCGTTTATAATGGGTTTTAATGTTTTTGTCTCGTCACAATATGGTAAGGGGTGTAACATTTCCGTCACACGCTTGAGGTATTTGGCCAATCACAACGCACTGGATAGCTGGCCAATCAGCGTACACCTCACTTTTCAGAACGATGAGCTTTGTAAAACTTAATGCGTTTCGGAAAGGCGGGGCATAGAGGAGAAACAATAACATACAGAATGTGGAAAATAATGTGTTTTTTGAACCTTAAACCACAAACCACATGTCCAGCAGTCAAAAAAAATATTAGGCATAGGAAAAACGAGCTTCCCAAACAAACAATATTTAATATTTTTCAAAACAAACCTTCACAAGTTTAAAGCAGAAAATCAAAATTCAAAGAAATCAAATAAACTGACTTAGGCCTATAAAAGAAGTCAACAGAACAAAACTGAACTCAAGATAACTGAGAGCATGACAAACAAACTGAACTGACCTAACAAATGACACCATAAGAACACATTTATACAACTGGACTAGCCCATGTTCCACACAAGAGGGGAAAACAAAAAAAACAACTACAACATACAACAACAAACAAATATCAAACTATTTAAATAGTTGAATTAAAGATTAAATATAAATCTTGAAAATAAGTCTAAACCAAAATTCCATTAAGGAAGTGAAACATAACAAAACAATGCCCATTTAGACAACTCAATCCTCCCTCCAATTCATCTGTCCATTGGAACCGGCCAACGGAACTAAAGAGTGGTGGAAACAGCACGCCGGTCCTTTAGGCGGACGTACCCCGCGACGGAAACTCGGAAACCTCCGCTATTCTCCACACAGCCCACACCACGGTAACTTAAACTAAAAAAAAAACAATATTAACAGAAATATACAGCACAGCGAACTAAATTGTGTGCACTCCAACTAGTTAACATGTACCGATATTCAATAAACATTCTAAATGAGCAAAAGAATCGAGTCTGTCTTTTTACTCAATATCATGTGAAAATTCATTAAACAAATGCAACAATAAACCGTAAGAATAAGCAGGTAAAATCAATGCTTACCCATACGT